ATTTTGGCAACTATTCATGTGATTTTTAAGGGGAAAATAACATACTTTTAAAAACTACCATGAGGTGATACCTGGACAGTATTTTCATCATTGAAAATGGAGGAAAAAAGAAAATGTCAATGAAAAAATACCTAAAAAAAAAAGCCCAGATCCAGATCACTTCTCCAACGTAAAAGGCAACTCTGATCATGAATCAGCCTTCACTCTCCTTAATCCAGGGAGAATGGGCAAGGAAGGAGAGTTCTTGGCTAAACTCTTCCATCACAAAACTTAAATATACTTTTTCACTTTAAGACTTTGATATCCGGGTTTAGCTCAGCCATGCTCATTTCCCAAACAGAAAATCCAGTACCATGCATATAATTAAGTTTTATTACAGTGGGAATTTGTTTCTTCTCCCTTCTTCCATCTCTGTGCCAGGAAATTTTCTAGGAAGTTTCAGTCTGTTTAGGTGCCACTCAACCCCGTCCCCTTCTCCGAGGGACAGCAGGTAAGTGCTGCCTGCCCCAGGCTGTCTCCCTGCCATCACTGACAGGGAAACTGCTCACTCCAGAGGCACAATTCCCTGGCATTCCCCTTGTTTGTGGTGCTGCTTCCCCCAGAAACTTGCAGGAATGTTCACATCAAAGAGTAATCAAACTGTACAGGCCTAATTCCCATCATTTCCCAGTGACCGAGTGCAGCCCAAAGCACTGGGACACCCCTGAGGACACCCGGACCAGGGAGGGGTGTGAGGGACACAGCACCTCAGACAGGGGGGAGGAAGAAGAGGAGGAGCCTTCACATGGACAAAAGGGCACAAAGATGGAGAATTTTACACGACCACATGGGGGAATGTCAAACCCAGCCAGCAGAACGGGCTCCATAATTCCACTGGTAAGTATAATTGATTATAACATGTAATTATATTATACACTCCATTCAACCTATATTGGCAGCATAAAACTCTCAAAAATAGCCTGTTACAGTTACACAAGAGCAGGAGGGAACGATCCCTACGCTAATCTTTACACAGGAAAACAAACAGTCAGCAGTTTTTATTTGATTTTTTGGCAATCCATGGCATTCCCACGCTTGGGAGTTGCTTCCACGATGCTGCTGCACCCCTGAGCCTCCAACCCCCTGACCAGAACCATCAGGAGCTGCCTCAGAACACTGGGGGGGGCTGCAGGAGGCACCAGGCAGGGCTCTCATGGGCTTTCTTTGTTCCTCCCCACCCCTAATCTCCCTACAGCCACGTGTTGTCTCACATCCCCTTCCTTGGATTACAGGATGTGTAAGACAAGAACTGTGTTCCCATCCTGTATTTCACAGCCGGGTTCCTGGCCAGGCATGAAGTGCTGTCCCACAGCCCTGCCACCTTCCTGGCACTTTCCCACTCTGAATCAGCACTAACAATCTTTCACACCCCTTTGAAATATCTGCCAGGGGTTCCAGGGTGAGGTTTTCCGGGGAGAAAAGGCTCAGCTGATCTGACTGGCAATTGTGCCTCCTACAAACATTTCAAGTGAGTTTTGGAGAGGGCTGTTATTGCTGAAAAGCAGCTGAACCTCTGACTGACCTGCAGTGACCTACCTGGGATTTGAACCTGAGAAAGGCAATGTTAGGAGAATTTTATCCCAACAGGCAGGACTTTTAAAACATACAAGTTTGCTGCATAAATTCTACTAAAACTATTTTTAAATTAAACATGGTGTTAATATGCAATAATAATCCCTTTATTCCAGAGAGTGGAACTTGTATTTCACATCTTCCAAACACACAAGGCACAGCCCCTCTGCCTAATGCACACTCGGGAGCAGTTATTTTTAAGTTGTAAAAGCTCTAGGAAATACTGTCTTATACATCCCTGTAAAAGGATGATGTATCACCGCCAGCACTGTCCAGGAAACTGTCACATGATCACACTTAAGTCCTAGAAATACACACAGGGCCAGAGCAGAAGTGAACCTTCATCCCCCACGAGGCAGGAGGAGCCCTGAACCCCCCCCCAACAGCCTCAGTGACTCCAGTGACACACTGTGTTTGCATTGGGGCTTTCTCCTGCTCAACTCCGTGTGTGCCAATCCCAGTCTGAAACCAGAGCTGCAGTTAGAATCTTATCATTAACGGGGGCCCAAAAGCTTCTGCCAGCCCTGCTCTGTGAGCTGTGTACAACTCTGTAGGACCACAAGGAAATACTCTGGGAACACAGGGGAAGCCCAGGAATGTCAGCTTTGTAGAGCTGGCACTCATTTCCCCTAAAAACTGTTCCCTAAAATTAAAGGGACAATCCTGAGTGTGGAATTCAGACCTACAGCCCAACAAAGGATGCACAGAGATCACACACTGAGGGAACTGCACAAGGAGCACTCACTTGGGGAGTAACTTCCCAAAGGAATTCCTGCAAGTCCAACACTTGAGACTTGAACTACCACTGATAATTCAGGCACCATTTCTCCAACAAAGCACAGTTTTTACACCTTTACAGTCCAGACAGCATCTGCTGAGGTCTGTGCAAGGGAAGTGCCCCAGAAGACACTCGGAGTCCTGTGCACAGGAACCCAGAGCCAGGCACTTGGATCTCATGGCCCAAACAGACAAGTAGGGTAGAAAGGAATGGGCATCTGACAACCTTTTATGAATTCAAATTTTAAAAAAACCAAAACCACAAACAAACTAAACCAGCCCCACACTGTAAAGTTTTGGGTGGTCATTGCACCCACTGTTGTGATCTCTCAATGCAATCTTTACTTCAGTACTTTTAAAACACCCACATTAAAGAGGTTCTGACAGTTGGATAGTTTCAGTGACTTTAAACATGCAGAAGCCCTTGGCACTGAAGCACAGAACAGAAAAAGAGCATTTTAAAAATACCCCAGCGAGGTCAGAGGGGATCAAGAGTGAAGGAGGCACCAACAGAAGCAGGAGGAAGGGAACACAACAAGCAAACAAGGAAAAGAAGGTGGATTTGGCTTTACCAATGTGAGCTGCAGGTTTGTGAGTGCTGGGGGACCCCAGAGTGGGCAGTGCTGCCTGCAGGGTCCAGAAAGACACCTGAGGAACTGCAGGACACAAACTCCTTTACTGCAGAGCTTCACAAAGAGCCTGGAATTTCCTGAGGCCTCTGGACGTGCCACCCACAAACAGGAGCCCAGAGGCAGAGATAAGGCTGGGTAATCACTCAGGCTAAATACTGAAATAAACAGCAGCTCCAGTTATCTGAAAGCTGGACACAGCAGGGAAAACATAAACCAAAGGAATAACCTTGACATTCAATTAAAATAAAGGATGAAGAGAGAAAGGGGTCTGTAAGTAGGAACATCCATGGAGGCACAAGGCAAGAGAAGAAAACAAACTAAAAAGCATGGTTTGCTCTACCAAACTCAGAGTGAGAGAAAAGCCAAGCAAGAATAAAAGCTGAAGAGGGGAAAAAATATTCAGAAATTTGGGCAGAGACAGATTAAAGATAGACAATTTCAATAGCACAGAGTGTAAAAACAGGGTTGCAAAAGGCCAAGAAGGGAAGAAGTCAAGGCAAGCAGAACAAAGAACACATTTCAGAAGACCAGGCTTAAAGTGGAGAGGCCAGATAGCACAGCAGTTAAAAACACACAGTCCCTGTGTAAATAACTTATTAAAAACAAACCAGAACAATATTTGCATATTTTTAGGCAAAAGCACTCTGGTGATTGACCCCAAGCAGGAGGACTTAACGGGAAAAAGCACAGTCAGGGCTGAATTAACCAGCCTAAGGCAATAAGAAATAAAGAGCAGAGGCGCATCAATACCGACATCAGGGTTCCAGGAGGAAAAAACACCTCAAATTACTCCAGGAAGTGACGCTGCAGAGATCCTGGGAACGGGCTCCCTCCTTCCCACTACAAACAGATCCCTATTTTCTAAGACTTTAAATGGGAGGAGCCAATAGCTGGAGGAGAGGAGGGATAGGAAGCATCCAACACCGGCTTAGCAGCCTCGACAGCTGAAACCCTCCTCCTGAAAATAAATACAATATTTCACTTTATAAACCCCAGTGATTCAATTCAAGCCGAGCGTGAGCACACACAGCAGCAATGACAAACACGGGCAAACACAGGCAGGAAAACACGAACACACAGACCCGAGGCTGAAAACCACCGCAGGGAAAAAAGGAGAATTAACAAATTAATCAACCGAGAGGTCCAAGAGCTCCGAGCCCTCTCCCGACACCGACCGGAGCTGCAAAGGGAAGTTCAAGAAGGGCTGACAGCTTGTCCCAGAGCTTCCTCCCGAAGGGCCACGTGCCCCCACTCCACAGACACAGCAGGACGCGGTTCCTTCCCAGCGCTCCCCAGCCTGGAACACCGAAATTCCGGACGCTGCCTTTGCCCACAGAACGCTCTTTTTGGGGGGGATGGGAGTGGGGAAGGCCCAGCAGACCTTCAGCCCGTTTGCTTTTTATGGTGATTATTATCACAGGGCATATAGGCACATTAAAAAAAAAATCAATTATTGTTTACGCCCGCCCCAAATTCCTGGCTTTCAATCGGAATTACTTTTTGTTTACATTTCAAGGGGGAGAGAGGGAAAGTTAGCAGTTCCTCTTTCCCTACCTCCACGGTCTGGGGATTGTTTGGAGTATCTTTTACCACGCTGGCTCTTAGTCGTGGCTTTTTTAAAGCGATTAACTCCACCATGGCAGGGTATTCCAACAGCCACTCCAGAAGGGTGTTCCGACAGCCGCTCGCTCTCCCGCACCCCGGAGCGGTGCCCGCAGCACAGCGCCGTGTTTTGGGGAGCTCCCACAGCCCCGTGCCCGCCCTGCCCCGCGCCGGGGGCGGGATTATCCCGACACTCTTCCCACTGCACCTTCCCGAGCCGCCCCCCCGGCGGGGCCGCGAAACTTTCCCTGGAGCTGCCCCGGGCCGGGGCGAGGCCAGGCCGGCACAGCCCCGGTACAGCCCCGGCCCGGCCCGACCCGGGGCCGTGCGGGAGCCCCGGGCAGCCTCATTGTGCAGGAACAAAAGAAAGATCCTCACCGCACACGCAGCAGGAGAGGGACTGCCTGAAGTAGGGCAGGAGCTTGTTAATCTCGGAAAAGGACTGGGGGTCCCCCGGGTCGTAGTTGAGCACCAGGCGGCTCGCGGACACGTAGAGAGCAGTGGCATTCACGGGGTTCATCGCCGCCGCTCGCTCGCCGCCGGCTCCGCGCTGAGAAGAAGGTCCGCGCGGGCGGCGGGCGCGGGTGGCCCCGGGGCGGGGGCCGCCCGGGTGTCACCTTGGTCCGGGCGGCCCGGGGCCGCGCGGCTG